GATGGATGGTAGAGAGATACCACAAAAGAGTTGTGAGGGTAAGTTGAAGGTGAAAAAATTGGGCATGGGTCAGACTTAGAGAAGATTCAGCTGCCAAACGAGAAATGATAGTTCGGTAGAGGCGTATAGAGGGAGTCACATGCACTACGTGGAGTATGTCACATTCCTATTGGTGGAGAAGTGATGCATAATGATTTGCATGAGAGACATGTTGGAATCATTTGATTCCAATAGGGGGGGGGCAGAAGGCTTGTGGCATGTGTAAAGAAAAATGTTCGCACATAGAGGGCTGCACTGGACGAGAATAGCCAATCTTGTGAGCGGAGGGAAGTACTGTATCAGAACTTCAATATCCCCCACATAGGTTATTAACCTTTTCAAGTTGTTTCTTGCTGACTATTTAACTTATAAGGATAACTTTTTCATTGCCCTTAATAATTAATCTGTGAATAATAAGAGAACACTGGCTTCTGATTGTATTTGGGTCTCACCTCATCAACACTTTTAATTAATTAAGCAACATGATAAGCAAAACACTGTCACAAATTTCATCATTGAATGTCAAACATTCAAACACATAACTTAGTAATAGCAGTTTATTCTGATAATTACACTGACCTTTTTCAGCATGATAGGTGTGAAGAAGTGGTGCTTTGATCTGTGGTGACCAAAGTCGAACTGTTCCGTCAGCTGAGCAAGACAATAACTGTAACTTAGAGCTATGAATAGACAACCCCCATACTGCATCCGAGTGGCCCTTAAGGGTAGTGGTTAGTATTCCTGGGTCTGAATAGTATATAAATAAAAATGGCACATACAATATATATATTTATATAAAAATCTCATATTATTTTCTGCTCAAATTATTAACCTAATATGTAATAAATTATTCAACTCCTCAGTTTCTTAACAGAGCTTCTAAATATTTTTGATACTCAAGTGAATATGATTATCATAACAATAAAAATGTCTAAAAATTATCAGTATGTAAAAGCTTCTACTTCTGAATTAATTTGGCTTCAATTATTTGTCTGTATTTATTACTTAGTGAAAGGTCTACCTGCTTTTAGTGGATTAATAAACACAACTACACGTTTATTCACAGATAACAGTTTCATAAGGTCAGCTAATGACAGCAATATATACACTCACAAATAACATTCTCCAATAACCTTACTTAAATTAAAAATGATTAATTAAAGGCAGTACCCACCATAAGAATCATAGGGATCGATGTTAGAATTTGGTAAGTTCCAACATTTGATTGTCGAGTCCAGACCACCACTAAAGCACTGCTCACCTGTGGCGTTCATGGTCACACAAAGAACAGCTCCACTGAAAGTGAAAGGGTAGACTAAATAATTTTATGATATCCACTCTTTGGCAACTATTCAAGAAAATCTATATAAATAAATATCAGTATCTGTGTGTGTGTATATGTGTGTGTGTGTGTGTGTGTGTGTGTGTGTCTGTTCCGTGTACATTACCACATTTCTTAATCAATCAGCACCAAACTTGACACAGCGATACAGAAAAACATGAGGAAGGTCATGAGAGGGAGTGAGGGTCATATTGAAAACAGTATGTCTTTTATTTTATTTCAGTATTGGTACCTTCATATATTTTCATTGCACTTTTAATGTTTATTATGTCAAGAAAAAAAAATAGAAGCACAATTTACTATCCTTTGTTACAAACGTGTTTTTATTTCACCCATCCAACAAACGGGTACTCCAGTCAGTAGTATATAAAACTGAGCTGTACAGGGTGTGCTTTAAACCAAAATACTGTTTTAATGTTTATCATCATTATCAAATTTTATTATTTCTCACACACACTACATTCACGTGTGGTTACTACTGAGACCGAGGTGCTCTCAGAACAATAAACAAACATCCAGGGTTGCAGAATAGTTGCACGCTTTGTGCACACACTACATTCACGTGTGGTTACTACTGAGACCGAGGTGCTCTCAGAACAATAAACAAACATCCAGGGTTGCAGAATAGTTGCACGCTTTGTGCACACACTACATTCACGTGTGGTTACTACTGAGACCTAGGTGCTCTCAGAACAATAAACAAACATCCAGGGTTGCAGA